GAAGACAAACCCTAAAACGATTAAGTTTGGTCCAAGAGGTATTAAATGTGCCTTTGTTGGATATGTCAATAACAACAAATCATATAAATTATTGAACTTGGAGACCAATGTGATAATGAAATCAAATAACGTAAAGTTCATTGAGAATTTACTATCTTCAAATAATGAATAAAGGGAGACTCATAAAGAGATTCCTAACTCTAGTGGAACACAAAATGAAACATCTTTTAAAGATATTAATGAATCTGGTGAGCCTCGAAGAAGCAAAAGAACTCGGATAGAAAAGATTTTAGAATTGGATGAAATTGACTCTCAACTTCTTTCACTTTACTTAGTAGAGGAAAATGAGAATAATATTGTAAGATCAATACCTTTTATTTTACAAGTGGAAACCTATAGAGAAACTATCACTTCTCGTGCTAGTATCTTTTGGAAAAATGCAATTCAATATGAAATGAATTTAATTACGTCAAATAATATATGGGAACTTGTCAATTTACTATTTGATTCTAAACCTATTGGTTGTAAATAGGTGTTTAGGAAAATATAATACAGATGGTCCTCTTAATACATTTAAAGCTAGATCAGTAACTAAAGGTTATTGACAAGGTGTATGTACCGATAGTTAGAATAACATCAATTATGACATTATTCGCATTAGCATTCATACATGACTTGCATGTTCATCAAATGAATGTCAAGATGATATTATTAAATGAGGATCTCAATGAGAAGGTTTATATGGATTAGCCTTTTTTGTTCTACCCAAAAATGAATTTAAGGTGTGTAAATTAGTAAAATCATTATATGGTTTAAAACAAGTACCAGAAGAATGTTAATGAGAAATTTGACTTAACAATAATTTCATTTGGATTTATACATAATAGTGTAGATAAGTGTTTATATTTGAAAGTATGTGATAAATGTTATGTTTATTTGCATGTATGTTGATAATATGTTGATTTTAAGGAATCACATGGGTGCAATAAAAGAAACGAAAATGTTTCTATCTTTCGCATTCAAGATGAAGGATCTTGAACAAGTGGATGTCATATTAAGTATCAATGTTATTAAGAATAGTGGGGATTACTATTTGAGTCAATCACATTATATCGAGAATGTGACAAATAAGTACAAATACTTGAACATAAGTGTGGTGTATGAATGATAATCTATAAATAAAAGATAAATTTCATTCTGAAAAACAATCAAATCATCAATTCATAAGATCATTCCATATAGAAAAAATCTTTTACAAAGTTTTCTATACATATTCATTCATTCAAGTGTTCTTCATGTTCTAACGAGAAACACAAATGTTTATCATCTTCTAAGACTTATTAAATCCTGTAAACTGTATGACTCGGCAATTATTTCATTTGAGTTTATACATAATAGTGTAGATAAGATTTTATATATGAAACCATGTGATAAATATATTATATTTATTTGCTTGTATGTTTATGACATATGAATTTTAAGTAATCACATGGATAGAATAAAAGAAACGAAAGTGTTTCTATCTTCTACATTCAAGATGAAGGATTTTGGACAAGTGGATACCATATGGCTATCACAATTACTAAGAATAACGGGGGTTATTATTTGAGTCAATCACATTATGTCGAGAATGTGACAAATAAATTTAAATATTTGAACATAAAAGAGTATAGTACCCCTCTTGATCCAAGTTCTAAACTTATAAAGAATGATGGAAGAGACAACAAGGTATAGTACATTAATGTTCTATACTTAGGACGCTCGAACAAAATGATTTGACTTAAAAAAAAAAAAATAGAACATTAGTTGAATTGATAAATACAATGTTAAAAATGGTAAGTTGTTATTTAACTTGTGGGGGTGAGACCTTGTTGAATGCATGTAGAATATTAAATAGGATTCCTTTAAAATTTGCAAAGGTTTCTCCTCATGAATTGTGAAAAAGAAAAAAAAAAATCAATTATTGGATATTTCAAAGTGTGGGGGTGTCTTATATATTGTAAGAAGACGAACCCTAAAACGATTAAGTTGGGTCCAAGAGGTATCAAATGTGCCTTTATTGGATATGTTAATAACAACAAATCATATAAATTATTGAACTTGGAGATCAATGTGATAATTAAATCAAATAACGTAAAGTTCATTGAGAATTTACTATTTTCAGATAATGAATTAAGGGAGACTCATAAAGAGATTTCTAACTCTAGTGGAACACAAAATGAAACATCTTTTAAATATATTAATGAATCTAGTGAGCCTCGAAGAAGCCAAAGAACTCGGATAGAAAAGATTTTAGAATAGGATGAAATTGACTCTCAACTTCTTTCACTTTACTTAGTAGAGGAAAATAAGAAGAATATTGTAAGAGCAATACCTTTTATTTTACAATTGGAAACCTATAGAGAAACTATCACTTCTCGTGATAGTATCTTTTGGAAAAATGCAATTAAATATGAAATGAATTCAATTACGTCAAATAATAAATGGGAACTTGTCAATTTACTACTCGATTCTAAACCTATTGGTTGTAAATAGGTGTTTAGAAGAATATAATATAGATGGTCCTCTTAATACATTTAAAGCTAGATTAGTAACTAAAGATTATTGACAGGTGATGGAATTGACTATTTTGATACATATGTACCGATAATTAGAATAACATCAATTAGGATATTATTCGTATTAGCATTCATACATGACTTGCATGTTCATCAAATGAATGTCAAGATGATATTCTTAAATGAGGATCTCAATGAGAAGGTTTATATGGATTAGTCTGAAGGTGTTGTTCTACCTAAAAATGAATATAAGGTGAGTAAATTAGTAAAATCATTATATGGTTTAAAACAAGCACCAGAAGAATGTCATGAGAAATTAGACTTAACAGTTATTTCATTTGGATTTATACATAATAATGTAGATAAGTGTTTATATTTGAAAGTATGTGATAAATGTTATGTTTATTTGCTTGTATGTTGATAACATGTTGATTTTAAGGAATCACATGGGTGCAATAAAAGAAACGAAAATGTTTCTGTCTTTCGCATTTAAGATGAAGGATCTTGAACAAGTGGATGTCATATTAAGTATCAATATTATTAAGAATAGTGGGGATTACTATTTGAGTCAATCACATTATATCGAGAATGTGACATATAAGTACAAATACTTGAACATAAGAGTATATCACACCTTTTTGATTAAATTCTAAGCTTATAAAAAGATGATGCTTATAAATGTAAAACATTTGTATAATTTAAAATGGTTTTAAGAAACCTTATCAAAGTGTGAAGAGGAGGGCTTCTCAAATTTTAAAACCTATTCATTCGGACATATTTGAACTTAATAGCATGTTATCTAGAGGTGAAAATCGATATTTCATTATCTTTATAGATGATTACTCTAGGTATACTTATTTTTATTAAATGAAACATAAACATGAAACATTTGATATGTTTAAAACATATAAAAATAAAATTGAAAATCACTTCAACAAGAAAATAAAATCATCAATTCATGAGATCATTCCATATAGAAAAATTGTTTTACAAAGTTTTCTATACATATTCATTCATTCAAGGGTTCTTCATGTTCTAAGGAGAAAGCACAAGTGCTTATTGTTTATCTTCTTTTAAGGCTTGTTAAATGTTATAGACCGTTTGTTGCGAGTCCTTTTAAGGATCAAAATCAATTCCAGAGGGGATAAATTTAATTTTAAGAACAACAATTACGCGTTTAAACCATTTTTCGGTGTTTTCTATTTTTATTGTTACTCTTCTCCATTCTCTTTGAAGGATTTATATTCCGGTTAGGCCAATGTTTTGGCCTCGAGTAAACCAGACCAAGGCCGGGCAAGTGTCCAGCCATAAGCCTGGGCAAAAATTTCAGCCCCTTCGTTTTTCTTCTCGTTTTGCTTTTGATGTTTCCGTACTTGCTTGCCTCACCCATATGAAAGTATTATCATTATATATACTTACCATTATAAGTTGAACAATAAATTGCAACATTTTCCAATAAGTATTATAATTATCTTTTATTGGGGTTGTATTGGTGAATCAAATTAGATGCCTTTCTTGGTCTCAACTGCCCTTACATTAGCTCTAAACTGAAAATACTCTCATTTTTTTGAGCAATTCCAAAAATTTCGTATAGTAATTCGGATGGCTGATATACTGCACCCATCATAATGACTTCCTTTTCTCCTTTGGAGGCTTTTCAGTGATGTTCAATTGCAATATCCCGCTGCATAAAGCACTACAATTGCTATTCTCCACCACCATATGAATTTCAATATAGTCATTCGATATCTCGTTAAAGACTAAAAATCTGAGTTGACCGAATAAAGGGATGAAACGATGAAAAAGATGGAAGACTTGAAACAAGCGCTAGCTATCGAAGATCCATCTCCGAGAATTAGTTGTTTATTGATAGTAATCTCATCTCACACTGAAGATGCAGGCCATGGTATCCTATACGGTGGGAGCTGAGTGTTGTCATTGGTCATGCAAAACATAGTAGAAACCTCAATGTTCTTGCAGAATCTATAGCTTGAGAATTATAGAGTTTTATTTCAAAAATCAAGAGCTCGATTCCTTTGCCAAAAAATGAACAAATTTAATAAGACATAAACGATGAAATTTATACTTCCCCGTCATCCCAAAATTCTTCTACCTTGATTAGCTTCAGTCCAAAATTCCTTCGGGGATGGGGGAGATTCCAGATTTTTTTTTTTTACATGTCAGCATCGTAACATTTAAACTAGGCGGCAATCTTGAGGTATGAAATTAAAACAAATCAAACTGGTGACACATTCACTGTCCCTCATTTCTTATTTATACTTCCACACATTCAAATAAAAAAGATATACATATGATAGTTATTTTATGCACAAAATAAACAAGTCTAACAAAAAATATATACATATGCTAGCAAATACCAAACTATTTTTCTCTTTCATTTCTTGTAATTTTCCAGTCTATTTAACAATCAAATAGAAGGAACTACTCGGATATATAATCTTCACCTCCACTATCTTGATCATCAGCATCACTGTGGTGCACACCCTTCCCATTCACGCCTAATCTACCATTCGAAGCTACATAATCCTGCTAAAAAGCAAGGCATGAGACATCACTGACATGGAAAACTTGCTATTTCTTACTTTTTAGGTAAAAAATTGCTCTTATTGTGAAAGTAACTCTTACTTTATTGTTAAAATTAACCTTAGTTCCAACTTTCATCAATAAAAAGGAATTACTCACTTCTAAATTAGCATTTTAAGCTTAGCCAAACATGCTCATAACTATAATGAACAGCATACAAGTACCCAAATCCAAAGGGCAACACACATATTACCTCAACATCTTTCAATTCTCTGACTGCTACTTGAGATCTATTTCTAACCGTCACCCTTTTAGGCACAGGAAAATGTTCGACCTCGTCACCTGATTTTCCTTCTCTTGCCCTCTTTTTTCTTAGAATAAGCTTTGTCGGAAGTGGCTACATGAAAATGTGAATAAGTACAAAGAGGCTAATAGTCTATTGAATTTACAAGCTAAAAGTTGGAAACTTACTAAATATCTGGCTTCTGAATCGCCAAATGCGACGAGGTATGTGGTGGGATCATCTACATCATCACCTCGCACCTGTGGAGGCATTATCAAGATATGATCTGTGAAGTAAAAGAAACTTGAAAGTTGAAATAAGATACATTACGTACATCCCAGTGATACTCTCGGATCCATGAATGGGCAATATCTTCATTTTCATCATGCATATCCTTCTTCATCTGCCACAATTCAACAAATACAGGGCGACCAAATGAACCGTGCAAGAATCGATGCTTAAACAATATCCATATGATGAACATTTTCATTTAGAATACCTCTCCAACTGATGGCACCATGTATGCCAAAAATTTATCAGGTTTATCTGTACTCGAGCTTGAAGCCATAAAACTTTTCATAATTGCCTGTAAAGTAATGGATAAGTTAAAATAGCAGAGTTTAAATCCTTTATACTCTCTTTGCATGTCAATTAGTAGAAATTCTTCTCTGAGCATCCAGAGAAATTAGAAGTCAATGAGAAACCAGGAAGTCACCCTAGGGCTCAAAACTCCGCTGGAAAAGGCTACAATGAGTATCAAAATATTTAACTAAAAATTATGATACAACTAAAAAAGAGCCCCCAAATTTGAAACCAAGAAGTTCACAAATGACTGAAAAGACAAAAAAAGGGAAGGGCAGAAATGCAAAATCCCACTACACAAATTGGTGACAACCACAACAAAGCATGGTTTATGAAAACTAAAATGAGGCCTTTAACATTGAAGATAATCAATTCCTATATTCAGAAATAGAAAGCAAAGAAAGCTATAGACATCGGAGCTCGAAAATGTTATATTGCAGCAGATTCTACAGTAGAAGTTCAAAAGACTGGCAAAATATACTTCAATTCTAAAAAGGCATTCTTCAGTTTAAATGGTTTGCACAGTATGTTAACAATGTACAATATGGTTAAGTATCCAATTAACCCTTACCCAACGTTCGTGTTCATCACGATCTGCTGCATTCAGCTTGCTGTAGATTTCTGAATCAGCTGTTGGAGCACTGTCAAAACTTGCATACGCAAACTGGTCTTCATACCTGTCAAGAGCACCCATCAGCTTCAGATGTACAAAACTCATGCAGCATGATCATAGGTGAATGGTGAAGTATATTTCGGGAAAGAACAAATGAGTGAACATCTCCAGTAAAAGTCCCAATAATTTCACAATAGAAAAAGAATGGCCAAGAAATTACACATTCACATTTCTCAAAGAAAAGCAAAGAAAATTGTAAAGTTCATCAAATTTTCAAAAGGAAAATAGTTGAATAAAACAAAATTCAAATATTATTCAAGGCAAGCTAAAATCATAATCACTTCTTCATTTTCCCCCATGAACGCCATGTACTTTCTCCTCCATATATACTCACATGCACAGGTGCTTACTAATATTATAGTGCAGATTGAAATTGACAACTACTGTACCGCTCAAAATAAGGAATAAGTGGTAAAATCCTTCTAGGCTGTAGTTGGCAGTTGACTGCATGAACAGGCTTTGACTTGCACGCCTTGAATGAAGTCTCAATATTCTGAATTTTCCCTTTCCTAGAGAGAGAGAATCCAATATCAAAATAAAACCCAAACAATATACATCTTGAAGTTTATATACAAATCATGACACATAAATATACAACTAACCTGCTGTTAAGATTATCCAAAATGTTCAGACCTCCTCTTGATTCGCGCAACTCCTTCGCTTGTTTTTCAGTAAGAGACTGCACGTAACATCAAAATCATGTTGCAAGCATTGGACAGTGTGTCGTAATAATTCATTGGGAAGAAATAACTAAAAAATACCTGCTTCGTTGACTCCATACTGAGAGGAGATATGTACTGAGTTTTGACTAGCCAAGAAACACCCTTTTCAGTGGGCCTTGCTTTCCGTTTTATGCCATCTTTCTTAATTGGGGTAATAGGAACATCTTCACGCAATATCTCCTCATCCTCAGGATCCATGGTTAACCACCTTTCACCCTTCGGAGGACTAGTCAAAAAAAGCATCAAGAACGAAATCAGAACAGCCTTACATTTGAAAGTTCTGCAAAAATATTTTAGGGTAAGAGCAACAGTGCAAGGGGATGAAGAAACTTACTTATATACACTCAGATCAAGAAGATCAAGAGGTATCCCAAGGTCCGGTTCAACGTATAGCTGAGGCTTGTGATTTTTCTCCAATGACGTAATTGCGTATTTAATGTATCTGAAGGATTAAAATATGAGCTCTATGACAAAAGTTATACATGCTTAATTCTCTTTTCTTTTCAATATATATATATATATATATAGGCATAAGTTATGATCTCTAATATAAAAGCGAAAATGAAAAATAGAGCTCCAGCAGTTAGTGTTTTTCCTTTTTGCACCTGACAAGTGTTTTTTCAGAAGGCGGCCAGAACACAATAGCTGATAAAAACTTGTCTCAATTATGATTAATTAACAATTTACAATTCCACTATACCAAAAGTCAAACAAAATACACATCCTGAATGTTCGACAGATAGGGCAAAACCAGAAATTCAGATTACAAGGGAGTACAGGATCAACTGTCATGTGAAATCTTTAATGGCTTCCTCGTATAAAACCAGAACTCTGTTCTGGAATACACAAGGATCTAAATGAAAAGCGAGCATTATATTTGATTTCAATAATTGATACAAATAACCTGTAATTCACTTGATACTAGCTACGTTAATTACATAAAGGCAATATTTTAACCAGTAGCAATCATGAAGCTAAAGGATATACCTATTCAAGCAATACAAAACAACGTTTCAAGTACAACTAGAAGTTTCTTACAACAGTTACAAAACAAAATTTGTATCCAGCACATGTCTATGATTGAGAAACACATGGCTCCTTGATCAACTTTCTACAATCTAGATTCAAGTAGTAGGAATAGTAAAACTGACAGTTCACAGGCAGCAGCTGGGAACCTACTACCAGAAGTTGGTAGCAGGGATGATATATATCTGAAACCTGTTGTGTGAGGGGCATGCTCATTGCGAGGAAACATTAACCATTGGATCAATATCTAGCAAAGTTTATATAAGAAGTTATGGTACACATTCTAATTCATAATTTTGGAGGGTCTACATTTTCGAGTTAAGCTCAAAAGCATCTGTAGTTGTTTTCAAGTAGGTTCAACAATATTTTGGCTAACAATTCATTAAATGAAAACCTAAAAAAAAAAAAAAACAATTTACTTATATATATCATGTCAAATTTTATTAACTATATATGAAAAATTTGACAAACTACCATGACAAACCACGTAAAATTAAAAAAATCATATGAAGAAAACCAAATGCCTTCCAGTAACAAATCAAACTTACGGAACAGAGCTGAAAAATGACAGAACAAACTAAAATAAAGCAATTGGATCTGCCGAAAATGGACTCAAAAGGCTGATAGTAAAATGAGTTATGCCCTGAAGCGTGCTTTATACGGTTTCGAAAGCAGTTTGCTCTTTTTTGTGGTTCATCCTAGGCACATTTCTTCGATCCTAAGGCGGCACATCTTATCTCGTTTATTATCAAAAAAGAAGATGACCTAATCCAATAGTGAGCATTAGCGACATTTACTGGTACAACAGAGGTGCAGATTCATGGTGGCATGGCATTAACAGCTATGGAAAACAAGCATTAAATTTGCAACAACAGACTCTCTCTACCGTGTGTCTCATGAAATATAAAGGATACAGAAGTAAGGTTTCTTACCGATCTGGGTCTCTTCCTAAAGTCAAGAGCTTCATCTTTGCAGATGGATCTGGTAGTTCATTCCAGAACCTACAAAGAACACAAATCACTAGTGAATGTATAAAGTTATATTTAATGTTAATATAGAGAGAAACAAAAAATCAATTGCAGTCTGCAGAAAACATTGCTATATGTCTTGACCAAATCAACAATTATAACTACTTCATTGAGAAGAAATTATCAAACTGCTCAAAGTTCACGAGAGTTCTAGGTGAGGTTGCATGGGTATTTACAAGGGGAAACCATTAATTTAGAGTAAACTAAGGCATGGATACATACAGCCTTTTTGAAAATCAACTGAGAAAAATAAATAAATAAAAGTGTAATTGTCCGAATCAAAACACAAAGTTAAGTAACAAACTCCATAACAGCCTAAGGTGAAGTTGCATGGTTAATACCAAGGGGCATAGGGCACCAAGGCTCATACAACCTTCTTGGAAATCAAAAATGAAAAATAAATAAATGAAGTGTATATTCTCCAAATCAAATAGTTAAAACACAAAGTTACACATTAACAAACTCATAACAACGTCCATGACAACCGTAGGTCAAGTTGCAAGATTAGCTGCAAGAGAAATCATTAAGTAAGAGTGAAACCAAACATGGATTCACATGACCTCCATGAAAATCAAATAAGAAAAATAACTAAATAAAGCTTAAATTTCCAATCATATATTAAAATACAAATCTATATATTCTCAATCTCACATAAATATCAATAAAGAAATCCCATGCAGATCTGCATTATCAACTTTTCTCTCTAGGTAACAGTTGGTTGTGGTTCGGGGAGGGGAAGACCAATAATTATTATGAAGAATGATGAGCGTGTGAAAAAGGTGTGAGAGTGAGAAATTATGAAGCATTACCCCAAGGAGTCTGAAAAGATGGGAGAGATGTGTGAAGTGCAAGAGAATAGAAATATAATGAGAAGGGTAAGAATATACTTTCACAAATTAATAATAAAGGGTAGAATAATCTTTCAACCTTCAAAAAAACCACTTCTCTATTACTGCCACTGAATATTTATAATACATATGCATGATTGGACCTAGAACTAAATAAAAACAACCACTTCAAAAGGAAAAGCAACCAAATGAGGAGTGAGACGGGAGGAGTTATTATCCCCATCTCATTCCACAAACCAAGTGAGCCCTTACTGGACTCTCATTCTCTTTTTACATTAGATAGCTTATACTAAACTCAACATTTAAAACTTGAGCTCACACTAATTCATCTAACACGACATGCGAAAGGAAAGAATCCAGGTGTATTCTAGTTTTCTGATACTTAAGATTTCTCTGTCGCTAGACTTCTTAAATCCTCCAACAACCAGAGATATTCCAGCATTAGGTTGTCATTACAATTTGACTTGTTAAATCCATTGACAGATATCAATAAAATGATATGCCACCCGATTCACCCAACATAAATGTAAAAATGCATAATAAATTTCTGAAATCGAATGCAATTCTATAGCAGGTCAATGAAATAGCAGGCTGGCTATAAGCAACCTTGTAATTTTGACATGCTAAATGCACAAACCACATTAGAGAATGCCAATACGAAGGCAATCCACCAATTCACACTCAACAACCTCTATGCTTTATCCTAGATTTGTAAAATCAAATCTATATGTCGAAATCACTATAAGCAAAGTCCTGGATACTATTCAAAGCTTAATCACATTAAATGGCAAAGTGATAATTTTACAAGTCATGTAGATTACTAAAACAACAGTACACAGCAACTACTTGCATTATCATCTCAATAGAAGACAAATAAGAGTAAAAGTAACGGCAAAAACCCAATTTGACAGCTTAAACATACTCACTTCATTTTGCAGACAAACGTTGTCGGCTTCTTCAATCGGTTTTCAATTCTGTTTCCGCTTAGTAATGGAGTACTCCTGTCACCCATATGCGATCCGCTAATAGATCCGTGGCCCTTCATCCCAGTGGCCAATATTTGTGTCTTCTGCAGCACTTTAGTTTGAGACTCCTTCAAATGCTGCTTGTGTTTCTCCTCTTGCCTTAGCCTTTCATACTCCCTCTTTTTCCTCAACCTTCTCTCCTCTTCCGTCTCAGCCTTACCTGTTTGCCCATGCCTACCAAATCTTTGAACTGGGCCAGTATGCGGCAAGGGGGGCTTTTGTTTATGTATAGATGAAGCTTCCAGATTTCCATGCCCTGATTTCTCACCTACATGCCTGCTCTTTGTGCTTAATCTCGCAGAAGGGAGTGGTGGCGGGGACGAGGGCTGAGAAGGTGGTGGCGGAGGAGGAGGAGATGAAGGAGGAGGTGGCGGAGGTGGCGGTTGCAATGGCTGAGGCTGATTGAACTGAGAATCCGGGTAATATGTTGGAGGAGCTGGGACCGGTAATGGTGGCATGGACGAGGGTGGTGGTGGTGGTGGAGGATATGAAGAAGATTCTGATGGTGGCGGTGGTGGTGGTTGATACGGAAACGGCTGCTGTTGGGGCTGTGGCGGGACTGGATGGCTGAAATGCTGTTGCGATGATGATCCATAACCTGCATGTTTATAGTTTGAACTCAGATTCATCTGGGCATAATTCTGATTGTATGCGGTGCCCTCTTTGCCTTTATAAGTATCCCAATTCTGAGGGTACTGATTGCCGTGTGGTGGCGGTTGTGCTTGGGGCTGAAGAATACTTTGATTCGGTGGCGCTGTCGGTGGAGGAGCGACTGTTGACTGAGCCGGCGGATGGAACGGCCTGTATGAAGCCATGTGAGATATCACAGTTCTACTCCAAAGTTCAAACCCTATTGGGATTTGGGACTTGGGAGATGAAATTATGCCCCGAAATCAGAGAAATAATTTACGATTGCAGCGCAAAACTCTGGGTTAGCAAAAAGTTGCAAATCAAGATTTAGCGACGAATCAAGAATTCATGTCATTCCGTTGATCTCTGTAATGAGCAAAAAAGAAATTGAATTGGATTTTGGGGTGAAGATGAACACAAAGTCAAAGAAAAAAATCCAAGAAAATCGAGTTGGGAATTCTTGCTACGAGGGTAAGAAATTAACAAATTTGAAGAATTGAGATGTAAAAGGGGGATTGAATTTGGAACCCAGAGAAAAGAATTTCTCAATTGAGAGAACTCGGGATCAAAATTGAAACTCAGTCGCGGACCTCGCGGTTCGGAAAAGGAAAATGGGGCAAAAAACAATAAAAAAAACTTGCACAGGGATGGAAATAAATTGGATTAAAACTTCAATTAAAGTGAAAATATACACAGTATGGTTGGTAATTTTGTGGGAGAAGCTCGGGCGTGTACTGACTGACACTTTGACACTGATATTACGTAGGGGTGGCAACGTGGTTAAGTGGATCGTCCGCTCGAACTGTTTGTAGCTTAGCTTGAAAAAAGTTTTGAGTTGAGTTGGTTCAAACTGTTTGTGGCTTAGCTTGAAAAAAGTTTGAGCCGAGCTAGCTCGAACTGTTCGTGCCAAGCACCAAAAAAAGAAAAAAAATGCAATCTATGAAACTTTAAAAATAAAAATTGAAAAAAAAAAATAGTTGCAGGTAGCTAAAATTACAGATATATATACAGTGTTTATATATATATATATATATGTGTGTGTGTGTGTGTGTGTGTATTTTTTTTTTTTTGGTTATAAATATGTGATAAAATTTTGAGTTTCATATCAATTTACTTCAATCAGTTTTAACTTGCAGTATTTTAGTTTTAATTTCATTCTCCAATTTCTTTACTCTAATATTCAGTTTCTTTTACTGTAATATTCAGTATCTTTTGCTATAATAGCTATATATAGGTTTTACTAGTGATGAGATTAATAGTTTAATGGTAGTTCAAGTACTCCATCCGATTACGATACATCTCAAGATGTTCCAATTGATTTGGAGGATATCAAAGAGGAAGAAGTACTTGAAACTAAAAGGTCGAAAAAAGAATTCTTGAATTTTTGGCAACATATGATGCGTAAAAAAAATTGGTGTTCAAAATGGAGTTGATATTTGAAAAGTATGTTACAATTACTGAGGCAAAGAACTTAGTTGGAAGCCTGGTTCAAACACAAAGCATTTAAGTAGACACGTATTAAAGAGTTGCAAATTGAAACCAGACCCAAAACAGACCAAACTAGTATTTAGCGGTTATGTTCTACTCTTTCCACATTTGTATATTTACAGGAAAGATTTCGTGAATGAATGACTGCATAAGTGGCTGCAGCAGAGATGCCACTTACAATGATAGACTCAATAAACTTTACTTGACTCGTGCAAAATTATCTCCAACACGGATATACTTCTTATTGTAGAATTAGTTTTCGTTCAAATATTATAAAATTATATAATAAAAGAAAACAATGGGTTATTGAAGGTCTAAAAACTTTTAATAGTATTATATCGTTTACCTGTGATTTATAATCGATAATAATAAAAATGTTATATTATTGTTACAACTCATGCATTGATCACATATGGCTTTTATATAAAAGGATTATTTCATTTAAATGTGTACAATATCCTCGTAATGCCACTAATATATAGATAATTTTAAAAAATATTATACAAGAATATGGTATACAAGAAATTGTTCGAAATTTTACATTTAATAATGCTAATGTGAACAAAGTTATTATCGAAAATTTTATTAATAATTTTAACCCTACACTTGAATGTTTATTTTTTCATCAACGTTGTGTATGCCACATTATCAATTTGATTGTAAAAAATGCATTAAAACATATAAGATTGCCTTTAGATGATAAAATTAAACAAGCGATAAATTTTATTACTATGTTCCCAACAAAAAAGCAAGCATTTAGCAGTTTGAGTACAAAATATGACTTACATGAGAAATCATTTACCACTGATTTAATATGTAGATGAAACTCTATATATCTTATGTTACAATCATGTGGAAATTATGATAAACTTATTTCACTATATTATAATGTTTGGAAGATTGGGAATGGTCTCTTGCATTTTGTGTGAATAAATTCTTAAAACATTTTTTCAATGTCACAAAAGAATGTAACAGTATTTATTACCCTAAATCTTCACTTGTTTTACAGTAGTTTTTCTATATTTCACAAACATTTCATAAATATAGGAATTTGTCAATTTTTTGTTGATTTAGTTTACTCTATAGAGTTAAAATTTCATAAATATTAAGAAAATTTGCCTTCTTTATTTCTTTTAGCTTCGATGATGGACCATCGACTTAAATTAACTAGCACAAAAGTTATTATAAAGGAGATTTCAAATTTCATGAATGTGGATTATCACATGTTTCAAATTTCAGGACAATTCTACTTTTCAAAGTTCTTTTTCAAGAAATATTTAACAAATTCAAATGATCTATGAAATTATTTGGATACCAATACAAGTGTTCCCTTATTTAGTTCTAATTCATCAATATTTAAAGCGATATATGTCAGTGGTACAAATCTGAAAATTTCATCCGAGTTAGCTAGGTATATGTGCGTGGACGTTCTAGTGTGTTACAAACAAAAGAATTACATGAATTTGATCTTATATCACGGTGGAGGTGTAACAAAATGCAATATCCAATTGTATAAAAAATTTCACGTGATCTAATAACACCTCCGGTGCTACGCCAGCATCGGATGCTGCATTTAGTTTAGGTAGTCAAATTTTATCTAACGAACGATCAAGGCTAAATGAAGATGTATTGGAGGCTTTAAATGCTTGAATGATTGGGAATGTGCAGAATTATGTATTCAAGAACAAGTTGATAGTATAATGGCTAAAGAGTTGCACCAGGTTCAATAATAGGATATTGTAAGTTTTTAGATTCATTAGCTTCAAAAAAATACGTAATTTTTATATTTATTTATTTCAAGAAAAATTGTACACGAAATATTTTATTCGTGTACAATTTTAACTCCATCTACGTTGATTGTAACTGGTCCTGAACTTGGAAAAAGGAGAGAGGTTGTAACTTTTATTTAATTTATAATTTGTATAAATTGCACAAAGTTAAAATTCCTTTTTTTTTTTTTTGATTTGTTACGAATTTAAAAATAAAAATAAAAAACTGAGCCGGCTCGACCCGGCTCACTAAGGCCCGAGCCGAAAATTCGGGTGAAGCCTAAAATTTTTTGGCCTAGCAAAAGCTCGACTCCATTCAGGCCAAAAAAATCCCGAACCATTTTTACTCGAGTCGAGCCCGAGCTTCGAGTTTCGGCTTGCAGCGGCATCCCTAATAATCCGTCAATATTTGTTGAATTAAGCTACACAAAAGAGCAGCTGGCCCCTACGTGGAGCTTTATTGACACGAAATTAGCAGTTGACGTAGTACCTGACATAATGACGTGGATTTCGTTTAATTAAAAAAAACTTAGGGCTTGTTTAAGCCCTATTTTGTGTGTAGAATGCATTTTGAAATAGTAGGTTGATGGGGAATGTGTGATTAAAAATGAAGAAAATTGATATTTTATTAAAGAATGTGTGGTTGAAAATAAGAAAGAAAAATATATTTTGAAAAAAATGAAGATCAAACAAGGTTGGTCAAGATAATTGGGTGTGAACCAGCCCAAATCCATTTGAAAGGATTTTATTCCACACTCTTTCATTTAGGCACCCCTTTCGAGTTCATTCAGAAACCTCTTTCTATCGTATTTTCTTGCCCCAACCTCCGACAGCACTGTCCGACTGATAAAAGCCCGCAATGCCGCTGATAGATGCCACTCTCCTAAGGAACAAAAATCTCTGAACGATATAGGCGTAAGAATATTTGAAGTTTCTTGCTTTGGATTGACTTTAGATCAACGCCACTGTCCAACCGATAAGGCACCCACCCTGAAGATGACAGAAAAACGTAAATTCTAAAAATGAACGTGTTTTTTCGGTTCATTGACGGGAATTCCTTTTTTTAACACTTTTTAAGAATGTCACCGAAACCAAACATGGGCTCCGTCTGTTTGAGAATGTCATGAAAACAATTTCTTCAAGGAAACTTTTTAACTTTTCTGTGTTTTATAAGTAGAACTCATACTTGTAAAATTGTTGTAGTGAAGAGAAAGAATAAACATCGAAATTGGTTTTTTGTTCTAGGGAAAGAAATTTTGGAAGATGTGGATGACATTATGTTGGTGGAGGCCGATAATGAGAATTTTATGGACAATACCAAATTACTGGGCGATAAAATGTTAGGAAAGAATGGTGCGATTGTGCCTGAGGTAGGTATGAAATTCAATGATGAAAACGACATATTTAAGTTTTATAAAAGATATGCATATGACCTAGGTTTTTCAATTAAAAAAAAGAAATTTAAAAAAGGATGATGATGGAGCTCTGAGATACATGACATTTGTTTGTAGTCGTGAAGAGAAAAAAAAAAGTAATATGAGCAGTTCTCTGAAGCCACAAGCAACAGTCTAGAGTAGAGGTAAAGTCAAGGTGACTGCATATTCAGATATTCGTAGAATATGGAGAATTAAAACAATACACCTCGACCACAATCATAAAACAAGTCATTCGAAGTCCAGAATGTACCGTTGCAATTGAGAATTGAGTGCGCAGCTTAAACTGTGGCTTGAAGTAAATGATATTGTAGGAATTTCGTTGCACAAAAGTTACAACTCCGTAGTTGTCGGAGCAGGTGGATATGAGAATATGACTTACGTGGAAAAGAATTGTCGAAAATATGTTGAACAAGTTAGACAGTTAAGATTTGGAGAAGGAGGCGCTGCATCAATACAATTCTACTTTTTAGATATGCAAGCATGGTGCTCGGG